AAATAAAATAACCCCCATCATATGGAAGCCTTATAAAAAAATATGTTAACAAAAATAACCACCTTAAATACCTTAAAAAACCTTAAAAATATGTTTGCTACCACAATTATACAGAATTTTCATTCGCATAGACGCATTTGTGCGTTGAATCGTCTCTGACAGTAGACCACCGACGCATATTTGCCTCGCAGCATATTCCTTAGCAACAGTCTATTTTAAAGCCCTGATCTATTCGTATCGGACCAGAGGGATTGCATTGCTTGGTCAGTGGATATGATGATTGGTTCGTCACACAACAGTAGGCCACATTGTTGTTTATATTGTATTTTCCACGGCATCACTGAACAGATGTAAACGTGCTAACCTTTGTAGTTTATATCAAACAGTATTTATATGTTTGAACTTTACCTTCAAACAAGCAAATCACAACGACGCATACATGCGTTGCTTGGTCTATTGAAACAGAAATTCAATCTCTTTTACTGGTTTTCATTAAATAGACTGACCAACATGTTTATAGGTTGTTTTAAAAGTTGCTCAAAACGATAAATAAAAGCAATATTTTTTGCTTCCTAATTCATTTTATGTTAATAGTAGTGAATTAGTCAATTTTTAAAAAAATCCTTTTTTTGTCTGTCGGTAATGCTATTCCTACACCATTTGGTCTGTGGGAGTGACTGGACCGACACAAATGTGCGTCGCCTGGTAGCGAACGTGTTGAATAACAGTTGATTAGTGTTTTATTTGTTGTTGAACTTCTGACACACCTTTTCAGGCAAGATTATTTCTTGTACAATGATGTGATGATGGCTGAAGTGCCGAAATGCACAAAATCAGTCAAGTAGAGACTTGGACCACAAGGCGACAACAAATTTAACTTTTTCACCTGAGAACTAGTAAATCTTAACTTATACTTCCTACAAACACTTTAAAACCACACTATGGAAATATAAGAAATTATAATAAAACTCCATTTTGTTTGATATATTTTTATTATCTCAATCATTTATATATAACATATGTAAAAGAAAAGAAATCTTAAGACTTAATACAAGCTATCAATTAAATTCTACAATACAAAGACTTAAAATAAATTTCAGAAGGTAACTGGATGTTAACAGTTGAATGAAAATCGGAATACATTAACATATAAATATAAACATAACCTAACACATTGTATATACAGGCACTTATTCTTACAACTGTCATGAATTCCCAGTTGCATTCACAATAATAAAGGCTTCATATTATTCTAATTGTTATGCGAGGAAGGGGAAAATCACTTAATATGCACACTAAACAAAATAACTTCTCGATTGGCATTGAGCTGAATATAGATAAAATTCCAATTTCTTCCAACACTAATCAATATATTTTTAGATAGTCACACAGGCTTGCATTTTGAATACATTCATGGCTTTTAATAATTAGTTTTACCATTCAATGGTGAGTGATAGCAAACATTATTTTTTTGTAAAAGACTGGCAGTAAATTTCCTTTTCCAACAGTCACCCGAAAAGTTGGCTTCCTTGTACTGTTTATAGTACAGAAAGCTGCTAATTGCCGAATGAGCTGCCGATACACCAAATATGTTCATCCATTTACCACCTTACTGGTAGTCTCAGAATAAATGTCAATATATCTAGTAGTGTTGGAAGACAGAAAAAAAGCAGGAGCCAATACTGAAACATGTGTTACATAAAACTAAATCAAATTTAATTGAAAACAAAAGATTTCATTTTTGTGTCTTGAGTCACTTAACATATAAATAAGAGGTTAATCTACCTTGGTTTTGTCTTGTGACTATTTGTCCTTACAAAACATAGTTTTAGGTCTGTAATTGGATAAAATATTACATGATGGGTTAGCCTCTGGATCAAGATAATGGAAAATATAAATAAATAAATACTTAATTGTCTTGACAATAAATATTGTATCGACAGTACAATTAATTAATTTTTAACTTAGGTTTAGTAGTATTAAATTAAACGCTTTATAATTTCATTTTTAAATTTTGATGCATTTTTCATTGAAGTCTTCAATAGAGTAGATCCGATCTTCAGTATTTGTTTTAATTTTTTTTTTTTTTGTATTCTTTTCATTTTAAGTTTTGATTATTAGATGGTAATTTGTTAAATAATTTTCTTCCATTGTAATAAAGATGTTTTTCATAAAACTTTGTTTTGTGGAAAGTAGAAGAAAATATTTGTAATTTTCTCAAATCATAACTCTTCTCACATAATTCATCATTTTTCCAGAATTTCTCAAAATTGTTCTTTAAAAATAGTAGGGGTGTGCGATGCATCAAAAATGCTGGAGGTTGGGAGAAAAAAAAGCTTTTCTCATCCGTGAATGAGGTGGTCAGCACATTTAAGACACAAAACACGAAACACATACAAAACGACATTTAGGTATTTACGATAAAAAACTTGGCCAAGTAGTCCAAACACGAGGTGCGTAACCGGCTGATGATAAGTCAGCACATTTCGGACAGATAACACGAAACACATACGAAACGACATTTAGGTATTTACAATAAAAAACTTGGCCAAGTAGTCCAAACACGAGGTGGGTAACTGGTTGATGATAAGTCATAACTCATCATCAACCGGTTACGCACCTTGTTTTCGGACTACTTGGCCAAGTTTTTTATTGTAAATAACTACATGTCGTTTCATATGCGTTTCAAGTTATGTGTCCTAATGTGCTGACGACCTTATTCACGGATGAGAAAACTGTTTTTTAAACGTTCTTCCGACCTGAAGATGTGCTTGCTTAGTAGCACGAAACAATTGTAGTTATTTTATTTATAACACAAGGATCAATTGACACAACAGTTAAACTAAACATTTTATATTTTTAAATATTACGTAAGAAAACTGACTGCAAGATGCAAAGGCATGTTAGCTACATCCAATATTTCCTAAACTCAAGTCTTTTAAGGAAGACATTAAAATCAACAATGGTTAAGATTGGACTAGTATTATCCTTTTCTCTTTCTTGCGGATTTTCCTATACGGAAGAAGCTATTACCGTTGGTAGCACGGCAAGACCTGGACACGGACCGATTTACTTTTTCATTTTGATGTCCCCAGAGATAAAAAAACACTACTATTCATTCAAGTGTAATTTTTCAGGTATTTTTTGTCTGGTTTTGATTGAATTTGGCATAAACGTGTAGGAGTACACTTAAATGATTCCACGAACCAGAAAGGTTGGGTTGTAGGAACAAGGTTGTTATATTATGGGTTTATTAATTAACATTTTTTTTTCATTTTTACCTTAAAAGTAAAATACCCCTACCGCAGCAAACCTGCCGACTAGGCGAATTTCCAGTTGCTTGAATTGATTTTCAATTAATGTATTTAATTAACATTGGGTTTTATGAGTACATAGGCTTGCTGCTACAGGGAGGGTAAAAAAGTGTGTTTTTTAGTAAAATATTAATAACTTAGGATAAAGTAAATAAATTAACCAAGTAGTTTGATCAAAATATATCCATAAAAAAGCATACTACAACATTTTAAATATTCTCGATAAGAATACATGGGAATTTTAAAATAAATTTTTTTGAATCTTCTCCTTAACCAATCACTGTACAAAAACACTTTGATATACTAAGTTATTTGTTTTTTTAAGCTCTTTTGAAAAGGTCTGGAGAAAAATTGATAAATTTTGTGTTTTAAGGGCAAAACATTTGAAAAACCCATTTTTACCCCCTTAAACCACGTTCCCATCCGGTCTGATCATGCTGCTTCGCGAACTCATTCAAGTTTATCCCGCCTTACACCTTCAAACCAAATTTTATCAAAATTGGACAAAAATTACTCAAGTTATCGTCCAGACGGATATACATATATATCTCTATATATAGATATATATATATATTGATTTGCAGTAGCTGTTCAATGGCGCTACTAATTGCACCAACGGGATTGATTTGTTTAGTATCTAATATGAATTAGAGTTAATCATGTACTACCACAAAGTATTCTTTCTACATAAATTACAACTCCATAATACCCCCACCGCAGCAAACCTGCAGCCAAAGTAAATTTCCATTTGTGTGCCTTTATTTTCATTTAAATCTAATTCAATAACATTAGGTTTAACGAGTACCTAGGTTTTTGCTGCCTACAGGGAGGGTAAGGAAGTGCGATTTTAAGGAAAATATCATTAGCTTACTGTGAAACAAATAAATTTGCCAAGTTTGATAAAAATCGATCCATAAACAAGCAATATTGCAACTGTTTACTTATCCTACTAATATTATAAGTAAGAAAGTTTGGATGTACGGATGTATGGATGGATGGATGGATGTTTGTGAAGTAAACGCGAAAAATACTAAACCGACAAGGTTGAAATTTAGTATGATTATAGCTGACATTCCCGATTAACATATAGACATATTCTTACCTCAAAAATCCTTTCAGGCTCCGCCCCAGTGGCTCTGGCTCTGGAGTTTCACATGTAAACCTTATGAGTATTCATATTTAAAGAAATTAAAGAATTTTGTCAGCCGTTTCAACTTCACAAGTTGGTTCTATGATATTAAATAGCATTAAAAAGGTATAAGGCTTACCAACAGAGTGCAGCACTTTTATGTTTTTTGCATTTATGATCACAGCTAATTTTAACCAACTAGCAACAAAAAGTTGTGGAACACAATGAGAACTTAAAATTTTTTCATGGTTTAGGTGCAGTGGTAGAAAATTAGGGCTATGGTAGATACTGTAGGACATAATAGGATACCGTATAAATTAAAAGACCAAATTTTCTTAAACCGTGTTCTCTCCCATAACTACAATAAGCATTTATACTTATATGTCAACCCCGTACGAAGGACGGGTACTCTGCTAGTATATATATATATATATATATATATATATATATATATAAATTTTAACGAATGGTGTTATTGGCCTTTGGGGACATCAAAATGAAAAAGTAAATTGGTCCCAGGCCTAGGTCTTACCATGAGACCTACGGTAATAGCTACTTCCCTATAGGGAAATGCGCTAAAATGCCCAACTTTTATTAAATAAAAACATTGGAAGAATGAAAATTCGCTTAGTCTGCAGGTTTGCTGCGGTAAAGGTATCTCATACTATCTCACATTCCTACAATTATATACTTGCGTAGTATTTTAAAACCCCTTCAAAGACTTGACTTCAATGACCCAAAAAATCAATTGATTGTTCATTTGTAAACATTGATTGACTTGCAAAAAGTCCCTCCTAGTTCATTACAATGGGCAATTGGGATTCCACTGTTCCTCGAGTTAACCTGAAAATTCAATATCTTAAATGTGAATAATTTTATATAATACTTTCAGGCTAGAACTGTGCTGGTATTAAAATAAAGTAAAAACTATAGCTATCGCTTTAAGAGCATAAAAATACAACATAATTTATTTGTATTTACAATAAATGTGTTATAAAAATACAAACTATCAATATTCATGACACACACACCACAATTTGTGCTCTACGATAAATCTAGCAAAGAAATTTTACAGTAAGAACCCGAAGACTAGTTTTGGATAGGTTAATCATATTTGTATTTAGAACAAGACTTGAAAAATCTATTGTAAACTGAAGAGATCGAAGTATAGTTTGGGGTTTGTTTAAACCTCTGTTGGAATATTATACGGCGAGTCAATAAATCTATATTTTTGCCTCTGAATCTAGATTATGAAGCTAGTTCTATGGGTATAAAATTATATCAGCTGATGTCAAAAATGTTGTGGCGATTTGGAATCCATGTTTAATCGCCACTGAAATAGGCTACTTTCGGTGCTGCTAAACAACTCAGTGATTCTCTATATTGCAATATGTCCAAATATATTCTAACTGTAAACTTATACCTAGTCTTCTAATCTTGTCACAATAATGTAAATCATGGTTTGTGTTTACATTCAATTGTTATTCGTTTGCTGTTAGAAATGTCACATTATTATGGCTGTAGTGTTAAATGCCCTTTGTCATTGTGTTTGTATTGATAAATAAATTGTGTGAATTGTGTAAAGTTAGAAGCTTAACTGTACCTAATGGCACATTGGTTATACTACAAATTAAAAAGTAAAAAAATAGTGAAAATGACACGTATAAAATTAGAAACCCTGCTGGCACTCATTGGTTGGAATAATCTTGAAATCTACTATAGAGCTTGAAGTACAACTTAATATTACTAAATAAATGGCCAACAATTATTAAGTAAAAGTTATCCAAGAACAATTAAAATATATTGAGCAAAATCTTCATCCATATAAAAACCAAGCCAACTGGACAGCTTCAAATTAATTTAGAATCTAACAAGAAAATAAACCTGAATGTTTTTTGTTCAAAAACACTATTGGAGGATTATTAACTAAGTAAACAGAATGGATTTCAAACAAACTAATAAATTATCAAAAGCAAGATAAAAAAAGTAGAAACTAAACTCGCCAAACTTTGTGAACTAATAAAGCAGTAAAACTAAAGGAATAGTAAATAATATAATCCCACTCTAAGCTTAACAAATTGATATAGCGTTTTGAACTTCAATCATTAAAAAAATATCACAGATAAAAAGAACAAAGGTTTGACATTTATAACTGACCGATTTGGTTTGAACAAAAACGATGCCATCAAAGTACTGTAGTCTACGAGATCTATTGTTGTGCTGTCGCTGTCATGTAGTTTCTACTGGTCATCATCGTCCAGTTTGACGCCCATCGGCCCCAGCATAGTAGACGCAGGACCTGCCACACCCATCTGGGCTTGGTACGAGGCAAGAATGTTCTTCAGAGCATTCATGTCTATGTTGACTGGTTCGAAGCTTTCTACCTCGGAAAAGCTGTCCTCCATACCCTGAACAAAACAAAACGTTGATGTCCCAAGATTTTGATTACAAAGAAAGTGTTTTAGAGTATTTGGAATGTACAGCAGCCAATCAAAAATATTAACCTCACTCCATAGCCACTAGTAAGGAAAGAGCATTGAATTTGTAACGATCATCATCATTGATTTAACAACTCCAGTCTATTGGGTGCGCTCATAAGCCTCTCCAATACTTTTCTAACAAAATAAAACTCCTTTCCATCCTCTTTTAAACACTTTCGATTATGTCTTGCTAGTTCAGTTCTTTTGTGGTCGTAAAATTCTTCTCAACCACAAATTTTTCTCCCAAACCAGATTTTAACTACTTTTCTTTCATATATCAATTTAACACGAACAAACCACTCTGGTCCTGCCATTCCGATTTTTTCTAATATTGTTTTGTCACATCTAAACTGTCTGAATCTGTCCCGTCTTGTTTTTAAGCTAGTATTCGGCTGTTGTCCTGTTTGTTGAGTGTACAAGTTTTAAAGCTACATGACAGAATAAGTGAATGTATGTTTTAAACACTTTTATTTTGATGGTTTCTATGTATTATCATGCCACAATCACAAACATTGTTAGTAATGCATCATAAATAATAGAACTGAAATTGGCAAGATGTTTTCCAATAGACCGAGATAGCCATTCATCAATTAGCAATAATAAAGAATTGCACAATCAAATGCTTAGATTAGAAGGATTAACCTTTACAGGTAAAAATGAAAATTTTTACAAACTCTTCCAATTAAAAATTGTTAACATAATTTTTTTGTTCGACCTCAAGGAACTGACTCTGCTGAGTTTTCGGGGACCTTATCGCTGCTACTGCTGTTCCATTAAATAATTTTTACTTGATGGGAGGAAAGTAAAACTATAAATTGAAAATCATCTGCGAGCTACAAATGTCCAGTCAATAATATTACCTTCTTGTCAGTGGCCTGGATCTTCTCAAAACTCTTGCCCACAGCTGTGGTTGCCAGTTCTCTGTCCATTTGGTCCATGTACTGCTTCAGTTCACTGATGGGAGTCTCTTGTTGATCACCTGTCCAAACACCACACATTCAAGCATACTATTTACTACATATCTGCAGGACAGCAATTCTTACTTCAGCTTGGGTGGTGATTTTGTCCCTCGGTACAACAAAGTATTAAAATTTCAGGACAAACAGCTTATTACAAAGCTGTCGCATTACTTCATAGTATGAGAAATGACTTAAACACCCTTAACAAAAAGTATAAACAATACTCCCGCTCCAGCAAACCTGCAGACTAAGCGAATTTTAATTTGCCTGAATTGATTTTAAATGTAATCTATTTAAATAACATTAGGTTTAATGAGTACCTATGTTTGCTGCTACAGAGAGACTAATACAGGGTGTTTTTTAGTAAAATAATAATAGCTTAGAATAAAATAAATAAATTTGTCAAGTCTGATCAAAATATATCCATAAACAAGCAAAATACAACATTTAGGCCTATTCTACACATAGGCCTATTCCCCGTAAGAATAACATGGGAATTTTAAATTCACAGTTTTTTTTCTACGTAACCAATAACCGTACAAAAACACTTTAATACATTAAATTATTAGTATTTAATATCTTTATAACGGTTTAGAAAGTTGGAAATTTTGTGTTTTGAAAGTGAAAAATGAGAAAAACCTTATAAAAAAAACTATCACATAAAACCCCCTGTAAAACCCCCATTCCCATGTTTAACATATAACATAAAAAAAGGTATATAACATTTTGAACTGTTGGAGTTTTTGGCCTCTGGACATCAAAATGAAAAAGTAAATTGGTCCTGGAACACGGGCCTAAGTCTTACCATGCCACATACGGTAATCTACTTCCCTATAAGAAAATTCGCTAAAAGTGATCAGTTGTATTTAGAAACACTAAGCGTTTAAGATACCTACCGGTTTTGTTTCCGAGATCCATGTCCTCTTCATCTTCATAAGAACTCATTCCTGATCCATCTGATTCCATATCCCAGTTGTCTTCAGGTACTGCAAAATCTGGACACAAGAAAAAGATAATTACTAATTAGTCATTGTTTATAGTGAGACAAATGGTAGCTTTCCCAATATCCGATTAGGCATCTGTATTATTTTTGTTGGCTAGCCAGCAAATTTATGTTGAAAATAATCATGTTTCAAGTCCTTCATAACATATGCACTTTTATTAAGGTTACTAAAGACGACATGTGATTTGACAATAAAATTTAAACATTGGCCTGCAGTGAGGCTCTAAAACTAGTCCTCTATGGTGAATTGATGACAACAAGGTATGTAGCTTATTTCATCATAGCCATTACATCAACCCTGCAGGAAAAACATTTTGAATTGAATTATTGACAAATTTATATACAAGAAAAACAAAACTAAATGTAACAATAAAGTATTGTAAAACTTACAAATAATTTTACTTTATCAATATATTGCATGTATAAGACAAAGGACTTTAAACAGAAGGAATTAATACATGAAAACTAAAAACATACTCTTACAATCACATGTTTTCAATATTGACTATTTGACCAAATATAATAGTAAGAAAAGAAAAAAAATATATGAATATTAAATGTACCGAGGATATTCTGCACGGCACAGGAAAATGAGTCAGGATCAAAGGACACTCGGTTGTCCTCCTCGGACTCCTTCTCCCTTGAAGTCGAGGTAGTTGCTGAGTTAGCCTTCCTCGGTTTCACCCCTCTTCGAGGCCTCACTGGTGGTGAGTCCATTGCTAGACTGTCCCTGCAGACAAAGATTTTGTAAAATAACCCATATTTTAATTATAAGCAAAGATAAGGTTAAGGTGTTTTCTCTGGGAGTAATTGAAAAGATGCACGAGAGTGAGGAGTTGAGAATCGTTAGTATTGGTCAGTTGCTGTTTTTAACATATTGTGTAAAGATGACTTTTGATTGACCAGTATGTACTACTATTTGTGCAAGCAAAGCTTGAAAAAAATTTAATTTTGCCTTGAAGATTTTTTATATAGGTAGATGCAGCTTAAGGTAGACTCGTTGGTGATTGGCATGATTTGAACACAGGCTTGCAGCAAAGAAGTCCAACACCCTAACCATTAATTGTAAATGGATAATCATTTATAAAATTATATAACACGTTTTGTGTATAGGAATTCTTAACTTTTCAAGACTAGCATGAGCATCACTTACTGAGGGAATTCAGCACCATCCACAGAGCTGACATGGTTAAGGAACTGCGCCAGTTGGGCTGGTATGTCAGTAGCAGGGTGAGACAGTTTGCGACCGTAGCGTTGCTCCATCATACGATCTAACTCTGCTGGGGTCACATCTAACCAGCTGTCATCTGGAAATGCAACCACCAACATCAGCTGTATTGACATAACATTTAGTACAACATACTTATAGTGATGGGCCGATTCCAGAACTTTGGTCAACTCCGATTCCAGAACTTTAGTTTCGATTCTTGAATCCGCACACGAAACCGATACCTGTTATTAATTCATTTAATAACACATATATGTGTGCTTATTGTTATCCCTATAAAGGAGCATGTTATTTAAATTTAAACTTTCGGAATCGATAAAAAAATAAATTTTAGGGATGGACGGGTCCCGAAATTTCGGGAATTTTTTGGGAAAAAAATATTCCCGATTATCGGGACGGGATTACATTTGACTCGGGAATTTTTCGGGACGGGATTTGGTCCGATCGACGGCGATTTTTCCGCTTCGCGAGTTCCAATAACGCCGTTATTGCGAGCGATAGGTCCGCGAACGCAGGAGACGAAGTCATTTTGACGATTACGCCGTGACCGCGGAGTCATAACGACGGTCGCGCCGTGGCCGCGATTATTGGACCGACGATCGCACCGAGATCGCGAGTCATAACGACGATCGGGCTGTGACCGCCTACGAGTCATACTGACGATCGCGCCGATACCGCGAGTCATACCGACGATAATGCCGTGACCGCGAGTCATACCGACGATAACCCCGTGACCGCGGAGTCATACCGACGATCGCACCGTTACCGCGAGTCATACCGACGATCGCGCCGTGACCGCGGAGTCATGCTGACGATCGAGCCGTGATCGCGAGTCATACCGACGATAATGCCGTGACCGCGAGTCATACCAACGATAACCCCGTGACCGCGGAGTCATACCGACGATCGCGCCGTGACCGCGAGTCATACCGACGATCATGCCGTGACCGCGAGTCATACCGACGATAACCCCGTGATCGCGGAGTCATACCGACGATCGCGTCGTGACTGCGAGTCATACCAACGATCGCGCCGTGACCGCGGAGTCATGCTGACGATCGAGCCGTGATCGCGGAGTCATGCTGACGATCGAGTCGTGATCGCGAGTCATACCGACGATAATGCCGTGACCGCGGAGTCATACCGACGATCGCGCCGTGACTGCGAGTCATGACGACCATCGCGCCGTGACCGCGGAGTCATGATGACGATCGAGCCATGATTGCGAGTCATACCGGCGATAATGCCGTGACCGCGAGTCATACCAATGATAACCCCGTGACCGCGGAGTCATACCGACGATCGCGCCGTGACCGCGAGTCATACCAACGATCGCGCCATGACCGCGAGTCATACCAACGATCGCGCCGTGACCGCGAGTCATGACGACGATCGCGCCGTGACCGCTAGTCATGACGACGATCGCGCCGTGACCGTGAGTCATACAGACGATCACCCCGTGACCCGCGAGTCACAAGTTTCTATAGGTACATGTAAATTGTTACCCATTTTTTTGTTTTTATAGATCAGTGCCACAAATGGTAAAAATTGATTTTGTATGTCTTTTTTGGTAACTACAATACAGTACTACAAAAAATCCCGTCCCGAAAATTGGGAAGGAAATAAAAATCCCGTCCCGTCCCGTCCCGAACTAAAAATTCAATCCCGTCCATCCCTAATAAATTTCATTTAAAAACTGTGCATGAAAATAAACAATAGAGATTTAAAGTTATATTTTTAAATATTTTTTTAAAGGAAACAGTTGGAACTTGAGTCTTTTTACTATCTAACCGCAACCTGTAATTAAAGCGCATCAGTAATCAATATCTCAAAATGTCGTGGCAAATGGGTTCAGAATTGATCTTTTTCAAAGCATCAGCAACCTTCAGATATAAAAGCAAACACCATGGGGTTCCCTAATATACTACTTTATATTAGGGAATAAAGGAATGGATATAATACAACTAACTTACTTAAGAAAAGAGTTCATAGCACAGACACAGTTTACAGTACTACTAATTTGATACTTTACCACTTAAAGGAAAATATTCAGAAGGAAATATTACTTCAACTTTTGTGTGCTGTCAACTCCCTCTAACCCTTTTTTTAAGTTAAGCTACTTGTGTTATCCATTTCTTATTCTTCAACTTATTTCCAAGCCAAGTGCTCTTTCCCTCAAAAACTATTTGCCTAGTTGGGACAAAACATCATAATAAAAGAAAACACTAGAGTACTACCGTCGGAAGGAGGCAAGGTGGATTCATTTTTCCGAAGCTCTTCAATGTCCACGTCGATCTCTCGCAGGAGGTCAAGAACGATCTGTCCAATGGCTGGCTGTGATTGGACACAATGTGAGCGGAAATACTCTTTGGCCTCTTCCTCAAGTCTGCTGTACTCTTGAGATCCCTCTAACAAGTCCTGCGAGGCAAACATTTAAATCTTAATCTTAGGAAAACTGTATGTTGTTGCTTATGGCAATTGTTAATTTTTTGTTCAATAGGAGTTTATAACCAGTTTTTAACCATCCATTTTTGCTAAAGCTTACAAAAGCTACATTACCCTATAGTTTGACAATTCAATTTAACGATCTTTGTCATAGCACAATTTGTCAATAAAGAAAACAGAATATTCTCATCAGAAGAAGGTTTGAAGGACCTACCTTGAAATAACCTTTGTTTTTTAGGGAATCTTTGTAACTTTGCCATTCTTTGCTGAGATCATCGGTCTGTCCAATACTTTTACTCTGAGTGACCAAGATTTCAAAACCACAAGCCTAAAACAGAAACTCACAATTAATTGTAGCATGTTTTAACCAATATTATTTACATTTTTTCTTGAAGTTAAATTTTTATTACAATAGTTGGTTACCGTTATTTTTAATAAGCATCTATTTTTCCTAACTGTTCAAGTATAACATATTATTAAACTGAGGCTTAGTCTGCAGTTATTAGTGTTACAGCTGCCTTAAATAATTCTTGAAGATTTTAAACAAATAAAATTGTTTTTTTTAACCTTCATCAAAGGAAACAAAAATAGTTTTAATTAAGTTCCACACTTTTTTCTAGGCTAATCCAGGTTAGTGCTGCTCTATCTGGGTTGTATGACAGCTAGCCCACTCTGATCATATGTGGCTTTGTCAAAGTTTTAACCCCACAGACACATGGGTCTGAGTCCACTTGAATTTAGAGTTTTTGTCTTTTGATAATACAGAAACCCGATAGGGACCTTAATTTACAGAAAATGCTTATAGCTAATCAATACTTTGATGCAGTTAAGTACAAACGCTGTTTATAATACTCACCAATTTGAGACCGAGCAGTTTGGAAGCATAGGAAGCATCAGTCGTAAGAGGCAAATTCCAACCAGTTCGTCGATCAGGCATGTACTTCTGATGTGTCAACATGGCGTACAAACACTTAGTGAATGTTACTCTAGTCATAACGCAATGCTCTGGTGGGAAGTATCTCATGGCACGACAGGCCTACACAAACCACAAAATCATTGACATTTTCTAGTGGTACATAGTTAAACTATGGCTAGCATATAGACCCAGGTGTAGGCTAAATTGGATATCACATATTGGTAAAAATAAAAATATATTACATCCAAATAAACATCCACACTAAAAAATCCATTTCTAATCCTTTTTTTTAATCCATTTTTTAAATATAATTTTATAATTAATAATATTAATTATAAAACATATAAATAATGTTATAATTTTAAAATATAATGGATAGAAATCCATTTTTTTAATAAATGATTTAGTTTAACATTTTTGGCTAAGTATAAAAACTAAAAAGTGTAAGTCCTAGTCCAAAAAGAATCTAATTCCATAAAATAATACTTATTTAATAAGTAAGTTCCAGGGAACCAAGCATTACTCGGTGGTGTTTAATTTCTTTGGGAGGTTAGAAAATATAAAACACAAGCTGTTATACCCGCTCTTCACACAGGGAAACTTTGGCCGATCAGGATGAGTATTTGTAAATCAAAAGCATGAGTGTAGTATAAGAAAATAATGTGTAGGCCTATTATCATTTAAGTTTCTTAAGTTTTTTAAGTTTCTTATATTCATTTTTAGTTCCTCATAGGAGGAAATTTAAGTAAAAATCCTGTATAGTCATAGAGCCAATATTATTTTTACTGGGTGTGAATTTATTTAATACTGGGATATTAAAATGCATGTACTTTTGAGGTTGGAATAGAAACTCATTAAGGCAACAATATATAATATATGTTTGATCTGCAGGTTTGCTACAACATGAACATAGTCCAGTCAAAATACATGTAAATTAATGACCCAAACTCCGAAAAAATCCGAAAGTTTTGAAACTTTGCACACATATTTCTAGGTACCTAGGGAAGATTATACCAAAAGTCCTCATAAATATGAGGCGAGCTCTAGAGGCAATTAGCGAAAACAGGGAACCTATTTTGGTTTTTGGCTAAAATCTCGAGAACCGTCTGTCAGAGTTAAAAGTGACTGTATACCAAATGAAAGATCATTAAATTTTCAACAAAAATGATATTTACACTTTTATTTTATTCCTCATGGTTACTGAGTTATAGGGCGCTAAAATATGGGGTTTTTTCTACGAAATAACTTCTTTAGTTTGCACCATTGTTCGCACCCCGACAGTTTGCAATTTTTCGGAGGTTAACCCTTTTATTGACTGGACTAACAGGGATATCAATATATTTAAAAAATTATGATTTGTAGAATAAATTTCAAACCTTAAGGTCAATAGGATCGCGATGACAGAATGCTGTAACAGCTGGTGCCACTAAGCTAGGACGAGCTCTCAGCAATGCTGCCACTCCAACGGGCACAAAAACATTACAACTGTGCAGGTTGTCCACAATACGCCCAGGATACCTGGGGCAGAAAATAAAGGTAATGTTAAAATGTATTTTACAGTCAAAATCATGCACTAGCCAATGGTGCTGTAAATTCACTAGCTTGTAATTTTAAGATGAGCAGAAGTGGTCATATTGAAGACTAACTTACTTTACTACATGTAATACACAAAAATTAAACAGTATTTTGAAGAAGCAGTAAAAGTTTTGGCAAGGCGCATCAGTGTAGAATAGAGCCACCATCTTGGCTTCGGAATTTGTCTATATACAGTAACAGTAACAAAACAAGTTGTTTCCATTAACACTCGTGCCTTTCGTTCGTGTAAGCAGAAGAGGATTTTTCATTCACAGCCATAGTAAGAGAAAGTCGAATGTAGTGAAGATGAATTTAAAAAAGTTTTAGTTTTTATGTCACAGAGCTTTAGAACTTTTTTACCAAATTTAGGAGTTTTGTCCAAGATTGTTCATGATAAAACTGAAAACCACAAATTTTGTGTCAGGTAAGATTTGAAACCCCTACTCAAGAGTTCTTGGATGGTTTTGGGGGAACATTTCACAAGATTCAAAATCAGGAGATCCAAAGTTTATATTGCCGATCAGAAGATCCAAAATCGGAATATCCAACGTTTATATTGCAAATCACAAGATCCAAAGATTGGATGATCCAAAAGTACAGTCATTACCAAAAGTACAATTTTAAATTGTGAAGTAAACTGAAATCGACCGACAGATTTGATGCTGAGCGATTACCACCTATCCCCAGCAATGGTGATAAATGCATCAAGAAGTAAAATAAAAGTAAATACCCCTCTATCCTGGCAGATATCGCCTGTTGTATGCCAGTGGAGGCTCTGGTCTCTTCAGGTGTGTCCCAGATGGTTTGGATCGCTTCATCAACTTCTAACGTCGCGTCTCCTGGTATCAGATGGACAGATCCCCCGTGTAGGTAAACCTGTACAGAAAAAGTATTAGATAACAAACTGTTTAAGTACACTGACCGTCAACAGATGCTCTTAGACATCAGCTTTGTTTCCCCTTTGACTATATATTGACGAACATAAAGTACACATTTTATTCCCAAATGTATAGCTTTGCATAAACTTAAAAAAAAATACTGTTCAATTACTCAGAGTGTCAAGAGACACTCTCAGATTTTAGCTTGGTTTCACCTTTGAAAGTTAAAGGGTTAAAAAGGTCAGACAGAATAAGCTTTAAAAAATGTATCTACATACAGTAGATCTCCAATTATCCGAATCAGTTGGTACCGGACTACATTCAGATAATAAAAAATGTGGATGATTGGATTTTTACCAAAATTTAGAGTCTTGCCGAGCTTTTACTACTGTGATCACAGAACGTGTATAGGAAGATTTTGCGATCGGAAATTTACGCTTTTGCGGCGATCGGGGATGATTACGATTTTCCATGACCATGAGAGACGATGATGGTGTCAACACGACCATGGGATATAATTATCATTTTGACACAATAGCTAAAAACTATGACAATGTAACCGTGACCGCGGGAGACGATGACAGTGTCTACACGATCGTGAGACGGGTTTTGGATTTTGCCACGATCATGGCTTCTGCCTTCTTTAATAACGAGTAACGACTATTAAATAAATGTGGTTTTCAATTTTTAAATTATTTCTGTTGTAAGAAAATTCTGATAATTGGTGATTAGGATAGATGGACTTCGGATAATTGGAGTTCTACTGTACTTGAAAACAAAATATGTTCTATACAAACTGTTCCAGGCACCTATAAATTAAAAACTCAATCCCATTTCGAAGATAATATTTTAAGGCCAAAAATTTACCAAGCATAACGAGTAAAGTAATGAGTAGGCCTACAAACCTAATGTACGATACTGTACATCAAAATATTAGGTTACCTTCAATCTTTCATTTAGGAGTATTCTTAATAAATACAGATATAAATTATGTACATACCCGTTTGTCACATGTCTCAGGATTGGCCCATTTAGGTAAATGATCTGCGGCTTCAATCAATAGAAACTCTCCATCCACATCCACCATCCTAAAAAGCAATAAAAAAAAAGATAATTCCTCAACTCAATGCCAAATATTGTTTAAAATTGTCATGAAATAATACAGAAATATATGCTCTGAATTAACCGCATCTTGTAGTAAAAATTCATTACATAAAAGTTGTAGAAAGTTCAAAACAAAATATATTTTAATTATTGCTGATTAAAGTGTAGATACGCCTATCTTGTACCTATTTTCATTAAAATACATGGTATAGAAAGTTAGGTATAATCAAAGTTTAAGAATTCCACAATTTTTTGAACGTTGACTACATTGCACAAGATGCAATAATGTCACCTATTTTTGGCATTATTGTTAAGAACTATAGCACAAAATGGGTAAACAGCAAAACTACTAATGGCTAATCTACCTTGCTATAAGTCCAGGGATTTCTTGAGTAGCTTTCATCAATAGGAACACTATGAACCATTCATCTTCTATGTTATCCCCATAGTGTGTGACTCCATACAGATGAGGGGGGAGTTTCTCCACTGAAAACAAGCATTTTTACATCAATGACTCTGAAGGAAGTAAATCGCTTAGTTCACACTACTGTGAAATAAGGTGCTGCAAATATATGAATACAGGTCCTGTTGGGGGAGCTGGAGCCCAGGTAGGTTTGTTACGATACCACCAACCAACAGTACTTGATAGCGATACAAATCGCAGACTTGGGAAAGTTACTCAAAAAATGTAGGTAACTGGTTACAGTTACAAGTTACTCGCTCTTTCAGAAATGTAGGGTAACTGATTACAGTTGCAAGGTACATGCTCTAATTTAAAGGGATGTGATCTCTGAAATCGGAAATAAAATTGAAGTTTTTTTTAACCAAACCGATATGCTCAGAAAGTTTATAACATATTTGGTTTTGCCTATATTAAAGAAACAAGAATTAGATTAAACTATAATAAAATAATATTTGTTAATACAACATCTGAATTGTCTTGGAGATCTTGAGTCTGCTAATATACATTTTTACTATTGAACCAAAATGGAATAAAACAGTTAAAAAAGTAATTTTGTTTAAGGTAAAATTATAGATAACACTAGCTGTACCCGCGGGCTTTGCCCGAAAATTAAACTTCTTAATTTTCAAGATGAGCCTATTTAATGCCCAAAGAATCGGTGTACCGAATTTCAGCCTCCTAGGTAAATGGGAAGTGGGAGAATTAGTGATGAGTGAGTGAGTGTGTCAGTGAGGGCTTTGCCTTTAACATATTTGGTTTTGCCTATATTAAAGAAACAAGAATTAGATTAAACTATAATAAAATAATATTTGTTAATACAACATCTGAATTGTCTTGGAGATCTTGAGTCTGCTAATATACATTTTTACTATTGAACCAAAATGGAATAAAATAGTTAAAAAAGTAATTTTGTTTAAGGTAAAATTATAGATAACACTAGCTGTACCCGCGGGCTTTGCCCGAAAATTAAACTTCTTAATTTTCAAGATGAGCCTATTTAATGCCCAAAGAATCGGTGTACCGAATTTCAGCCTCCTAGGTAAATGGGAAGTGGGAGAATTAGTGATGAGTGAGTGAGTGTGTCAGTGAGGGCTTTGCCTTTTATAAGTATAGATTCTAGGTGTATATGGGAATCAGATTTTTAAAGCGTTTTTAGGTAACCCTCTACAAATAACTACTAACTAAAAATACAACAGTAATTTTGGTATATATTTATTAATGACTTTCCACACTTTGAATACAAATACTACAAGAGGAAAAACAAGAATTTTAAAAGGTGGGTGTTAAAAGCGTTAGGCTGGATAGGGATAAAGAGAAGGTAGACTAATTGAAGTAGTTTAGTTCATTTGATGGTAGTATCTTACCTAAACTGCTTTGTGATTCATAAGTTTTAGCTTGTAACTACCCTATTTTATTTTTAATAAAAAAATAAATAAATGAGGGTTTATTTTGTTAAATTCCATCTTGAAGGCCCCTGGATTTATTTTGTTCATTCTTACTTCCTTGATCGGTAAAAATATATTTTTGTGATGGGCCTACAGTAAAATTTTTTAATACAAAGTGAATTAATACAGTATTTATAAATCTAATTTTCATTATTTTCAAAACCTCTTAAACATAAAATTAATACTGTAGTATAGAGCCAGTGGTTTAATGCAATTTATAAAAAATAACACTAAGTTTAGTAGCCTACTAGTACAGCAAGCTTGTTATAAATTTTAGAATAGACCATTTCGGCAAACAAAAAATTCGGGTGTAGTTCGGCCTTCTGGACATACGATAATCCTATTAGCGACACTCGGCTGATCTGTCAGCGCTACCCGTCCCTGCGTTGGGGTTGAAGATGAATAAGCGTAGGACAGTGGAGGGGGTGAGGTGCCAATGTAGGGGAAGTCAGTGCGAGGTGTAGAGAGTGAAAGTGATGTAGGGTGAAGAGAAGGAAAGAGGTAAAAATTCAGCCATAAGGATCAAACTGATCAACAACTCACCCCATTGCATTGTGATCCAATGGTGTTTATAGTTTTTTATGTCTTTGTGGTGATATTTATTTACCGTATTGTGAGTTAACAGTATATTGTGCAAATAGCCTAAATGTATCAATAGTGTTTTTAGACCTCTCTGTACTTACATTCTGTGCTTTAAGTAAACTGTTGATTGTTTATGAACAAATTATGGTCAAATTTGAAAAAGAAGTATTTAATTCATACTAAACTATTAGTATTTCACCTAAATAAAACACTTTATTACCTTCCCTGTAGCAGCAAACCTAAGTACTCGTAAACTAATGTTATTTAAATAGGGAATAAATATGAGACATCCTTAAGTAGATATTGTAGTGAAAATTCAATCTTGCAAATCTTAATTAGTTTACAGGTTTGCTGCGGCGGGGCTATTTATAAATTATATAGTTGCTGTTGATGGAAAAATCGCTTTTCTTAATAAAAAGATGGTAGATTGTGGCCTTTAACTTTAATGGACAAGTTATATAATGTAACGTTCAAATCAAATATAAATGTCGAGATAGGAAAAAAAACAAACAGTATTATACCTAAACAGAATAACCGTATTTATTTGTTCAACAAAAATAATAATAGATATATTTACAGCTGGAGGATACAATATCTGCCTAACATTATTTTGTAAATAAAGTAAATACTTACAATATATACAAATCGAGTAGAAAAATGCACGTATAAAAATATACATAATTGGAGCATACACTTATATTTTTGCCGTTTAAATCGTCTTTTATTACTCAGATGGTGTAAACAATTTTATTAACTAAGTGTGCAATGCAGTTGTATGCTTGCAATATTGAGCGGAGCTAGCATATTAATCCAATACTTTTCTAAAGTCAATTTTACATCTGTTCCTCGCAAATGAGATTAAATACTTGCAGATCGAATGTCAATGGTATATTTGGTTCACTTAAATGGAATGTCTATTTGCAGTATTCTAAGTCAATTATAAGTCTGGTTCACGCAAATGAATTGTCTAATTGCAGAAACCAAAGCATATGTTTCATCTGGTTCTCATAAATGTCTAATTACAGTATCCAATGTCAATGATACATTTGGTTCGGATAAATAAAATGCCTATTTGCATTATCCAAAGTCAATGGTACGCCATTGACGGTTTACATAAATGGAATGTCTATTTGCAGTATTCCAAGTTAATTATACGAATTGTTTACTAGCGGTATCCAAAGTCAATGATACGTCGGGTTCACGTAAACGAATTGTTTACTTGGAGTATCCAAAGCAATGGTTCATATTTGATTCACATAAATGGAGTGTCTATGTAGTATCCAAAGTCAATGGTACGCCTGGTTCACGTCAATGGAGCAGTATCCAAACTCAATTGTATGTAGGCCTAGATTTGGTTCACATAAATGGAATAGCTATTTGGATTATTTAAAGTCAATGGTGCATCAGCCTTATTCCGCCGACCATAATTATTGGCATTTCATTTTGTAGTAAACTATAATCAATGATATTAATCCGATTGTTCTTCCCTTTTTCTCTGTACGGTATTTGGTATTTGTAATATGCTATTTAGATGATTCGTTGACTAACATATGTTGCGACTCTTGTTTTGCCTTTTTATTGTTATCTCGCAAATAATGTCATGGCAACCAATTAACCCATAAGGCCCATGTTAAATTTCCAAAAGTTTGAATTCACGTAGAGAAAAGCCCTGTGGTCCGATTTGTACCATTTCAGATTTATACCTTCCCATGGTAGGTTACTATGATTGTGCTAAATTTTGTGCAGATCGCTTCAGCCGTTCAGGAGGAGTATTTGTAAAACAAAAGCAGGAGTGTAGTATAAGAGCTTCGCTCGCTTCGCTTCGCTCCACTCGATTAATTAATTAATGGTTGTTAATTGGTATTTTAATTAATACTGTATTGGCAAATTTGTTAAATTCATACCAAACAATTAATATTTCACAAAAAATACCTTATTACCTTCAAGGCAAACGCAATAACATATAACGATAGAAAACCTGATAAATATAACCCTGGTATGACTGTTTTTGTGTTGCGTATATATTTAGTTCTTATGAATCTATTGTATTGGTTTGTTGGTCACATAGTTGCAGACAAGTACTTATACCACACGCACGATTACAGCTTTTTAGACACAGGCCACAAAAATACCATATCTCGGTCATTTTAAATTGGATTTTCTATGTCGATGTGTCATTACGTTTGTGTCAGAATTTACAGTAAAAAGCATTATTGTATTTATTTTAAGATTTTCTGGTTTAACGTTACAACTGTTAACAAATTTTTAATGGCTGCCATATTAAATTTTATATTTGTAAATTGTAGCCTAATATATCCTTGCAAAAACTAATCGTACTAGCATGAACATTTATTTACAATTTAAAATTTTAAGTAACATGGATATAAAAAAACTAAATGGTGGCTCTGTGTGTAACCATTGATTTACAGGTGCTTTAAATGTGATACTGTATTTATACATTTGTTATTAACACAGACATTATATTCTAAAAGGTTGGTAGAGAGTTACTTAACACCCTATAGTTAGACAGAATTGTCATAACAAAGTCACTACTAGATCATAAATGACCAGAAATAGATTTTCATCAACATCAGTTGATGAAAATCTATATCTGGTTAGTAACTGGTTAGATGACGTATTTTCTCGTCACACAATTGGTATTCGGAATGTGACGTTTGCAGTAAAGAGTTGAATAAAACTTGTTCAATACCGTACAAAACTATGATTTTCTTATTTTGTATAAACAAATCATTCAACAAGTCTTAATTTACGACTCAACTAAATAAACTATGACATAAATATTACATATATATACTGGAATATCTAAGAAATAGCAAATTAAATCCTTGTACGCTAATCACTCATATTTCCTTTACCTTTCCTAGTACTAAACACTGATTCCCTTCATTGCATTTCAAGTCCATTCAAATTCTTTAAGTCGAATTTTTGTAATGTCAACCATATCCTTCTGGGAACGTCAGACGTCCGGTATCGCTGGGGGCAACAAACTCCATCTTCTATCTCGCTCTACCCCCACTCTAGCGCTTGCTACCCCTCAACTGCCAGGAAAGGCCATAAATCAGGCGATTAGCTTCAACAATACCCGGGTAGGATTATGTCACGAGTTCCGTCTCCCAAAAAATTCAGCCCTTTAGGCCGTGTAGGGGGGGGGGGGGGGGGTCTTGGCCTAGGCCTACCTAAATACAATGCAATTGTTTGGATCCAAGTCAGACCTACATTATAAGTTTTATTCGCCTATAATATTGTGTTAGTAAAGCAAAATAAACGCATAAAAACTCAATTTCACACTTATTACAAAATTATTGCAAATCCAAACTAAGCTTAATTAAACGTTTCAGCATGAAATATAAATACATTATTCCCTTATTCTGAATGTCTGGAACGTAATTTGTATTTGTATACGTTTCTTATTGTTGATGAAAGAATTTTCTCCATGCTCATTGAATTTTGTCATAAAATTGTGTCATAATGTTATAAAACTAGCCGTGCTTTATTGCTGCGCACTTCGACTGTACGTAGTATAATTCATAACTCTATTATCTAAGTTCCCATAATACAAGGATTTTTATAATAAACAATCACGCATAATTGAATGTTCTCAAACTAAAGTATGACTAATAAAACTTTGAGACAACTAAACGGATAAACATATAAAATAGACCTAGGATAGGCCTAGATATAAACTTTAAAACTACACTTTGGACCACAACAAACACCAAAAGAGACTGGAACTGGAATCAAGGACCAGACTACAGTGTCAGGATTTACACTCACTGACTTCACTACAACTGGTACGTTGACGGACTTTGGACTGATGTGACGGACAGAAGTGTAACAAAGGGATGGGTTGAGTCAAAACAAAACAAATGTTATTGTGTTCGCTACTGGGAATGGTTAGGAGCTTGGGGTCAACAAACTGGCCTAGCCCGCTTTCTCTTCTTTCCGAACTACCCTTGTCTCTGAACGGTGTACTGAATTTAAATTTGAAATTTGAAAATAGTTTTCAAGATCAATAACAATGTAACAAAGTTAACTTTTTGCCACTACTATTTAACGTTACTAATGTTTTTTTAACGATTACCAATTACAAGTTACTTGTTAGCGAATTTCCCATATAGGGAATAAGCTATTACCGTAGGTCTCATGGTAAGACCTAGACCCGGGACCGATTTTCTTTTTCGTTTTGAGGTCCCCAGAGGCCAAAAACACCATCCATTCAAATTCATATATATATATATATATATATTTATATATATATATATATATTTATATATATATATATATTTATATATATATATATATTTATATATGTGTCCGTTAGCGCGATAACTCGAGCAAAATTGATCCGATTTTGATGAAATTTGGTACAAACGTGTAAACCTACATTTATTCGAACGAGTTCGCGAACCAGCATAATCGGACCATGGGATCAGGGGTTTATGGGGGATTTTATGGGGTAAAAATGGGTTTTTCTCATTTTTGACCCTAAAAACTTAAAATTTCTAAATTTCTCTCTAGACCAATTTGAAGAGCTTAAAAAAACAAATAATTTGGTATATTGAAGTGTTTTTGAATGTTCATTGACTACGGAGAAAATTTAAAATTCCCATGTTATTCTTATGGAGAATAAATAAACTGTTCTAGTTTGCTTGTTTATGGATATATTTTAATCAAATTTGGCAATTTGGTTTATTTCATACTAAGCTATCAATATTTCAATTGAAAAAAACACATCTCAACATCTTCCCTGTAGCAGCAAACCTAATTACTCACTAAAATTAATGTTATTTAAATAGGAAATAAATCTGAAAATTTATAGGGAATATTTTAGTAGAAATCAAGCCGGGTAAATGGAAATTCGCTTAGTATGCAGGTTTGCTGCGACGGGGGTATTTTAAGATGTAACGGATGAGTTACAGACGTTACTCAAAAATGTAGCCATTAATAGTAATCGTTACGTTATTATAATCATTCAGAACTGGGAAATCTACAATTCAAGCTGTGACCTATCTTGTAGATGCAATCCTTGCAAACCTTGAAAGCAGAGCCGATACTGGTGTCACCTAATGTGACCTCAGTAAAGCCTTTGATTGTGTTTGTCATGAGACATTGCTGGCTAAGTTAAAGTACTACAAGGTGACTGATACAACTCTGTCACTTCTTAGCTCATACCTAGATAATAGAGAACAAATAGTCTGTGTCAATAATCAGTATTCATGTAAGAGACTTGTACCCTTTGGCGTGCCGCAAGGTTCGGTTCTTGGACCTCTTTTATTCCTTGTCATGGTTAATGACATTGATGTTAATGTACCATTTGAGACTGTATGTTTTGCTGATGACACTACTTTGTTTAATGCTGGTTCTGATATAAAAACTGTCAATTTGAATTCTGAAAGTGCCCTTAAAAGTGTATCCAACTGGTTCAGTACCAATGGTTTCATACTTGACAATGACAAAACTCAAACCATAGTTTTTAGTAATAAGAATGTCAAGGCTAGTGATTCTCCCTCCTGTGATCAATTAGGGTTAAGTAATGTTAAACTATTAGGCTTAGTTCAGTTCTTGATAGAAAATTGACATGGCAGTTTCATACGGATTATATTTGTAACAAACTTTCAAGAGTTGTATATTTACTAAGATCTTTAGATAAAAATGTCCCGAAGTCATATCTCAAGCTTGCTTACAATAGTTTCTTTCAAAGTAATTTACTGTATGGCATATGTTTATGGGGAAATGCAGCTGGAGTACATAATGTCTTACTGGTTCAGAAAAAAGCTGTCAGAATACTAGCTTCAGCTGACTACTCAGAGCACTGTAGGCCTATTTTTATCCATGAAAAAGTGTTAACTGTCTTTAGTTTATATGTTTTGTATGTTATATTAGAAGTAAAAAAACAATCTGTATTCTTGTTGAAACGGCTAAATGTACATAGCCACAACACAAGGCTCAAGCATGAAATTGACATTCCCTTTTGTAGATTGACCAAAGCAGCCAAAAGCTCTTAAGTTATAGGGCTTAAACTGTACAATAATTATACTACCTCATCATGTCAAGAATATTGAATCCTTTGCTAATTTTAAAACTGTTGTAACAAATGGTCTTCTAAAGCACCCACTTTATTCTGTTAATGAGTTTTTGCATTTGAGTGCTACTGATTTTATAGATTTTAGCATTGTTATTCAACAATTTTTATTTTATGATATTTATTCTCAATTGACAACTGTGATCTCTTCTGTGATATAGGCTAAGTTTTACATGTATGTTACATAAGGTCTACTGTGATAATGTTCATGACTCTGTTACATTTTCTAGTTTATAGTTTTCTTTGACAATGTCTATTGCACAACCGTGTCTAATGACACCAATATGGATAAACATAAGGACACATATGTATATATATATGTACATATATAAAATATGGACACAAAGATGAATAAAGGATTCTTATTCTTCATTACTCCCAAGTCTGCCAAATCGGAACTGCAGTATCGCAACCACATGTCTGCTTTAGTTGTAAAAGTAATATTTTAGTGCAGGCCTAACAATTTTAGGGTTAAAAATATCAGTTTGTAATAATTTATAGATATAACATCAAAAAGGTAAAAATAAAAAAATCTTAAAATAAATTAAATTAAGTAGGGCCTAAGCCTACTTACCTAGGCACCTAACAAACTTTTTGTTAAAATCACCAAAACGCTCGGTAAGACTAATTTAAGTTAACTGAATCAGGATAAAATAACAATTATAGTCTAATAAAAAGGTTACCTCTAGTACTTGTCAGTGATCCTGGAATTTAGGTCAGCGACCCAGGTTTTGAACCTAAAGGTTCATTTTAAAGCTGATACCAAGTTGAAAACGCATTCCAAACACGCAATCCTCTTCATTACTGTGAAGAGTCATTAACTTATAACACACGAGACACGAACACGAAAACACTGAACATTTAACAAAAATTGGCCAATTATAATAAGTTACTGGTACGGTAGCGTGCGTGGTGTAGCCGGCAAAAGATGAGTCATGACTGGCCATCTTGAGTTCATGCTTAGGCCTAGTTCATAACAAGTGCGATTGTTATATCGTTTGGTTAACTTAGTTAGGTAAGGTTAACGTAACCTAACTAACCAAATGATATATCGGAATGAAACAATTTAATCGATATTTTCATTCAAATGAGTGTAGGACCTAAAGTAAAGTGCAGCCTCGATTATTAATCAATATTTTCAATTCAATAGTTTCAATCGATATTAGCGTAGCCCAGTTAAGACACTGTACCCCACTATTGTGTTTATTTATTTTATGTATAGCCTACTTGTATAACAAAACACAAATAATAATAATTTTTCCTATAGGCCTAATTTTTCCCGTTCTAAGCCTATGTCACGATTTCGCCCGTCCGGGAAGGGTTAAGTTGCAAAGACCCATGGCTACCTATCATTATAATATTTTGTCTAAATAGTGTCAACACTTGGTAAAATTAGAGTTACCTGAGGTATCAACTGCAGCAATTTCGCACTCAAATCGAGGTACAAGATTGACTTCATCTTTTTGCCAGATGTAGGTACAATATTTGTATTTTCCAAACACAGACCTTACTTCAGCTAAAACATTTTGAAGATATTCTCTTATGTTTTCTGTAGAGTGAGATGTCTTAGGGAAAATATAATATTCAACATAATCGTCCTCTCTTACGGTTTGAAGAACTTCTTTATTAATGTTCATGCTTGCTTTGGGCTTGTTGTGTTGGGTTGACTTCTTGATTTGATTTTGATCTTGCTTTTGCTTGATCTGTATTCTGTAATCTGTACTGTATGTAACCCTAACCTAACCTCAAATTAAAAGTTTTTTTTTTCTTATAACAATTTTCAGTTCAGCTGTTCAACTCAATTCAATTCAACTAGGACGGAACGATTCAGCAGATCAGAACGGAGTGAAATAAACGGCACCAGCAGCCTGACACCACTGAGCTAAAATTATAACTGGACTAGCACTGCCATGGCAGAAGTCTGTCAAAAGCGTGTCGCTGATTTTGTTAGGCCCGTATTACACTATCATAGTTCTATGACATATATCTATTGTCATATGTCTTTGATGAAAATTACAGTGTAATGTACCAACTATTATAATGGTTTTGAACTATCTATATATATAATACGCTAAGCCGATTTTTGTAAACAGAACTCCTCCCTCATTTTTGGACCGATTTTGATGATTAAAGTGTCAAATGAATTGCCCTGATCTGTAGTTTTGCAAAGTCTTTTTTTGTTTTTTGAAATCTTTATTAGTTTGGACAGGATATTCCATCAAAGTCGGATTTTCTCCCATAAGATTAACATGGGGGAATCTAAATATTTAATTGGAAACTTTGTCTCCATTAATTTGAGAGAACGACTGGACGTAGAAACTTGGTAGAGGTGTCCAAAGAAAGGTCTTGGTCTCTAGATGAGTTACCAAAAGAAAAACTAAGTGAATCCTGTTAGGGCTCTGCCCCAGAAGCCTTTAAAGATCCCTCCACAGATTTGTTTTCATTTTGTCCATGTGGATAATACTTTTTAATGAAACAGCTGTTAATTTTTGAATTAATTGTATTTTAAACAACACATATTTATTGGGAGTTACTGAATTGTCCAAAAGAAGTATTTGCAATGTTATTTTCTGATTTTAAAATTGATTTCCTACTGTATGTCATATTTTGCAATATAACGTTCCATTACGAAATCAGTAGAAAATCCTTTTATCACAGTAACTCTCATTTAACATTTATTTCTTATTGAACTATCTTATATCTATTGTACGGGTTGGTGTCTGCCTTTTTCACCACTTTTGGCTATATTTTCTCATATTATTCTAGACAGATCATCATAGGTTCGTGAGATTGGTCATACATGTTTTCAATCATTGGAAAAATCTTCGATTTTGTAATACAATACAAAATAATACAAGTGCAGAAGTGTCTTTTAGCTTTAACATTAACCCCACAACCGATTTCTCAAAACTATACTAGAGGGTAATTCATTGGCACAGAAGTACGATATGAACTGATGCGACGTGTCGAAGGAAAAATCAAACTTACACTGTGAGGACCTCCCTTTCAAGTTAGAACGTGTCTCCTCAACAAGCAGACATTTTCTCTCAAATAAAATCATAGATTAATCCTTATTACACTGATGAAATCGGGGAAGTTTTTAACTAAAAAAAGATCCACCAATACGATTTTAATACTGTTTAAAGGTTCTTCCAAAGTATGGGAAATATTTTATTCGTTGAATGATCAACCATATTTGGTAACTAACGCAATTAATATCATTATTGTTTTTACACTTATTTACTCTTTAAACAATGTTAAATGCTCAAAATATGTATAATTTTACTCAATTTATCGCAGTTAGATGAATTAGCGTAAGCCTTGAAAGTAACCGTCGATTTCGACGGGTTTCACCTAGTGATAATATGTCATAGAACTATGATAGTGTAATACCGGCCTTAGGTTGGTATAGCAGCGAGTTTTCTTACCATAGCAATAACATGGCTTCTAACTAGGTTGGTATAGCAGTGAGTTTTCTTATCCAATAACATGGCTTCTTTATAACTCACACCTCACGCAAACATGGCGGCTGGCGACACGCATCTTTGACATTCAGTGCTACCTCCAGTTAGAATTATAGCTCAGTGCCTGACACATACTTTCTCCCATTAGCTTGTGAAAAACGTTTATCAAGAGCAACGATCACATAGATTTCTAAGACCAATTAGGGCACGCCTATCTAACTACTAACTAACATTCAAGCTTTCAAGCAGCTGCCGCCAGGTCCGCCATCTAGCCATCTAGGCTCGGTTCACACGAGCGACTTATCTAGCTGACTAGGCTAAGGCTGTGACTAGGTAAGCCCGACTGGGTAGCAGACCACGGGATACACCGGTTCTCACGAGCGACATGTCCATTGTCCACGAACTAGATGAAAATATCGATATCAAAACCACTCGGATCCATCAGTGGTGCACAATGAGAACAAAGGGAAGAATGCGAGCTGCAACGCGACTACCCGATCGCTCGTGTGAACGCTGACGCTCCCATAAGGCTACATGTACTGCTACGCCACTCACTAGAGCGGGTGACTGGGTAGCTGCCATGAGTGACTGGGAATCGGAATCGGGGCCCGACTATGTTTTGGGACACCAAGCTCGAACGCGGCTAGCTACAGTTCGGCCAAAACTTCTGTGCGCGTGGACGGGTTGCTACTAGCCGAACTAAAACATACGGGTACCGGCTATTAGCAGTGCTAGGTGTAGTGGCGACTGGCGAGTGAGTAGCAAGACACAAATGTTTTCACAAAAGTACCCCCGGCAACCCCCTCGCCTAGACTCAACCAGATCTGGTCGCGCGCACACAAACTTTGTCGTGTGAACCGGCCTTACTGTAGGATAGAAGCGCTAGATGCCGATGAAAACTGCACCAAAACTCATTGTTCGCTTTAAAATAACTTGACATTTAGCCTACTTAGACTAGGTAAATCGTTGAAACTTCGTATGAGAGATGTCAATAAGTCTAGGACACTATTGGTTCTAATTAAAAGCTTTTAAGAGTTAATATTTTCTATTTTAAATCTTGTAATTGTTGCAGCAATGGGGGGTTGCACTATTGATAGCAAATCTCCCATAGGGAATAAGCTATTACCGTAGGTCTCATGGTAGGACCTGGACCCAGGACACGAGTTCGCGAACCAGCATGATCTGACCATGGGACCGGGTTTTATAGGTTTTTCTAGTTTTTCATACTCACAGAACATGAAATTTCCCAATTTCTCTTTAGACCATTTTAAAGAGCTCAAAAATCAAATAATTTAGTATTTTAAAGTGTTTTTGTATGGGTTTTGGATAAAATGCAAGAAATTGTAAATTTAAAATTACCATGTCATTCTTATGGAGAATAAGTAAACTGTTGTTGTAGTTTGCTTGTTTATGTATATATTTTGATCTAACTTGTAAAATCTATTTCTTTTATACTAAGCTATTAATTTTTTACTAAAAATGCACTTTATTACCCTTCCTGTAGCAGCAAACCTAGGTAATCATTATACCTAATGTTATTAAAATAGATTTAATTGAAAATCAAATTAGGCAAATGGAAATTTGCTTAGTCTGCAGGTTTGCTGTGGTAGCGGTATTTTTATAATTCACATTAATTTTAATGAAAACCGGTTTCATGGCTACATTTAATTTTCTGTTTTTTATGGGGGTTTAAGGGAAAATAACATAAGTTACAATACCTTTTGAACCGTTATGTTTAAGGAAATGGTACCAATTTGTTCAGAATTTAAAGGACCATAACATTCCAATAATTGTAATCAAAACTGGTTTTTTTTTCTAAAATCTGATTTTTTAAATGAGAAAATAATATAAGTCACAATAACTTTTGAATCGTAAATTTTGCGGAAATGGTATTTGTACAATTTTGTTAACCAAGTGTTGTAAAACTATTTAAGTTGGAGGAAAATAAAACTTATACAAGAATTTGTGTACAAAAGCTTCTTTAATATAGAGAAATATACAAATCACAATTAAAATACTGAAAAGTATAGTTTCCTTTCAGAAAGTATACAGTTTTATACTGACATACTACGCTGTCAGGCGATCGTACTACAATATAACTTCACACGTTAATTTACAATTATTATGTATATTAGTGTTCTTTGCTATTTATTACATTCAAGACAATTGACCATTATTCACAAACTTAACAACTACAACAGACGAAATTACAAATTTGCTAAATTAACTCCTCCAAACAGAAAAATTTGAAAAATAAAATGGCAAAATTAACTGGCCACAGATTAACTATATGGATTAATTATTCTTAGGAATCATACTTCCTGTTTAAACACAAGACTCAAGAAACCGAGGATGATACAATTTATCGGAATAGTAAATTCGCAACTCAGGTTATAAGTACACAACTTAAGTTATTGCTTGTTTTCAAATTAAAATAAAGAACTTAATAATTAAAAGGCAGCATTGGTTTGTTTGAAAGACACTTCGTTATGGTGGAACACTGTTTTAAAAATCGGCTTCTGTAGCAAAGACGTTCTCGCTTCTCTCATCCATCACTCCACTTTTCTTGTACTCTCCAACTCGTTTTTCAAAAAAGTTTGTCTTTCCTTCCAGTGAAATGTTTTCCATGAAGTCAAATGGGTTTTCTGAGTTGTAGACCTGCAAAGAACCAACATGATTTATTATTTGAAACAATTACTAAGTATTGTTTGTTACTTAATAAATAGAAAAATAAATATTTCATAAGTCAACCTAGCTTAAGTGAAACAAATTTAGTTTTTTTTAAGTACTCCAAAATTAGTCAAAGACAAATGATATTTAAGTGTAAAAAAATACTAAATTAACTTGATATACACTACGAACAAGACGTTAGGCCTAATGCATTGGTTTGTGAACAAAATAAGCAGCAATTCAAGCCATAAACTTGATGATAAACTTATTCAATCCATAAACTTGAACTTGTTGATACTGTTTCTTGTAAAACTATGGCCCTTAACTAATTTCCCAACTTTGTATTTAAACTAAGTGATATTTATAATACAACCGTAAAAAATCCAGCTAAAGTGAAATATCTCACTAACCTTTGAGCACTTGAGTTCATAGAGAAGGCGGTCAGCCACGTACTCAATGTACTGCTTCATGAGGTCGCAGTTCATTCCGATGAGACTGACTGGAAGCGCAGCCGT